TTATTCTCATTTTTAATATATATATATATAAAACAAAAGATAACTTAACTATGATTTAATTAAAATTAATTGTAAGATTGTATATAAGAAATTAATTAATTACCAAGACTTGAGCTAGCCTTCCAAATAAATTCCATACTCTTGTCCTTTAAACGTTGTGACTTGTCCTGATAATCCAAACGACCAAATAACATCCCATCAAATCCCATTTGTGCAAATAAAGATGCCTGTTCTCTTGAATGACCAAAAGGATCTATTTGCCAGCCAATGTGTGGTCTTGCACAATTACCAAAAGTATCATTCAATCTCCTACATAAATATTATATAATAATATTATTTACATTTCTAATTAATTTCAATTTTAATTTTTTCATTTCTTTCTTTTTTTTCTGGTCTCTGTGTGTATACCTAAATCCCCAAGTAAATTGATCAACAATTGATTGATAATGAGTAACAGCTTCATCATTCATACTCCAAGCACCACCAATGATTTCTAATCTTCCTGTATTTATCAGCATCCTCACATCTTTTTTTACATTCTCGTTTTGTCTTAACCACCATTTCCATAAGAATGCAGTTTCAACGTATATGAATCTGTGTGATATTATTATTTTATTTTTTTTATATTAATATATACATTAGTAAGATAAAATATTATTTTTCATAATGATTAAATGTGTACCTTCTATCAGGGTTTTTTAATAATGCTTCAATTGCACTGTCAAGTATGTATTGTACACCAGCTTTTTGTATTTTAGATCTACCTTTAGAAAAAAAAAAAAAAGATTTAAAGTATATACACTATTGATAAAAATTAATGACAGTAATGAAATTATTACTTACTTCCAAAGTAATATTGATCAACAGTTTTTAACCATCCTACGTCATCGTGGGTATGAGGTACCAGATGAATATTTAATTTGTTTGATTGAATAGCTGGACATGACTGTATACATGTACACACACACACACACACAGACAAAAAACAAGAACAAAAGAATTAGAGAAAATATATGAACTATATTCAGGTGTGTTAATAAATAAATTAATACGCGTATTAGATTGAAATGAAGAAAAAAATAAAACAAACGAATAAAAAATGTTAGTCGATCGAAAAGAGAGATGAAAAATATAATTAAAAATAAACAAAAAATAGAGGAATAATTTATATACAAATATTAATTTAATTCTTACTTGATATCCACAAGTTATTTTCTCTTGTTCCGGTGATTGTTTTAATATACGATAAGCTTCCGTAATTAAGCATAATTGATACAAGGTTAATGAAAGTAAGAATAATAGCAAGACGTTTCTCGACATAGTGTTAAACTCGCAAGATAATCTCGTACACAACTAACAAGATAATACGTTGGTTAGCCACTATTATACTTATATCTGTTTTCAAATGACTGACCGTTGGAACCTCGAGACATGTTGATAGATAAAAGGGAAGTAGAAGGGGATTAATAATGTAATCATCATCATAAAAAGCTTTCTTATATTTCATTTGTATTCTATATTTAATATATATTCATTTATTCATTTAATAATTTCACATTATATATATATTATTTTATTTTATATTATTCATATGATTTATATTTGGATTTATATTTTGTAT